TCCGCCGCTGACCTCAGAGTGTTTTGTAAGAAGGCTAACAAGCGTAAACTTTTGTCTGCCTGAAGTATGAGTCATACCAATAGAGGTTGAAGATGTTGAAGGACCCTATTATAGACTATCCCATATATAGGAACCCCTGTAGGGGGTCCCAGGTCGCTTGACCTCTCTTGGCATCGAAGAGCCTCTTCCCTTTTTCCTGTTAGTTCGTGTGGACTCGAAACATCAAAAGGTTCCAAACGCAAATCTTCGAAGCCAAATCCGCCGACTTTCACACACCCCCAACTTTGGGGCACCCAAGGGGACTGGATGGTGGGCACCTCTGGAAGACAGTCCAAAAGCACTGATGCAAATGACATACAATGCACTGCACCCTAGAATGACCTGCCCAAAAAACACGAAAGCATTGAGTTAGCCACCAGGAGTCACAAAGGGGTGGTTTTCAGTCCCTAAGTGAGTGGATAATGGGCACCCCTATCCTCCAATAGGCACCCCTTTGTGACTGCTGGCACATAAGAAGATTGGTCTCTGAACATGTCCACCCCGTGAGCACCGATCGTTGCCCAGCCCGGGCACGGATCGTTCAGCCCATTGAAGCAGGCACGCTGGAGCCTCAAGGCCGGTGGACTTACGACCCGGGACGGGCGCACGGCCGGTCGACTGCGTCTAGGAACGAAAAAAGTAACAAGGGCATCACTAACTAGAAACAAGAAGCTACTAGTAAAGGGTGACAGTCATGCCACCCACACTCCTGTCGAACATTGGGACCATGTTCCGCTTCGAATTGGAGGAAGCTGTAGACCTTGAACGCAGCTTTGGGTTTCCGAGGTTCCCCCTTCAGATATCAAGAACTGCATGGGAGTGATGAGTCCAAGTTGGTTTTGGCTGTCTCGAACTTCAGATCCCGCTGCTTTCGAACACTCCGAGTCCTACACCTATGGATCTTCCAACCTATGCAGAATCATCTCCCGCCCAAATTGCATGCATGTTAACAGCTGGTCCAAACACCGCCGGAACTCGGATCCCCAGCAGGCGAACCAAGTCTCTGAACAGTTCTAGAGGTCCCATGTTCCAAAGCCTGCGAACTGGCTTCGCATCCCTGCGACACCTTCCGTGAAACGCCCCGAAGAACCGGGTCCCTGGAGTCCCTGGGTCCATGGGACGCCTCCCACGCTGTCCCACGCACCGAGTCGGCGCGGCGCAGGAGGAGAATGCGCCCGAGCGGCTGTCGAGTGCCTTCGAGCATCACCTGCGGAGCCATCCCCATCCGCACCACTTCAACCCTCCCCAGCTGTGAGGAACTGGAGGATGTGCTTCACTTGCCCGAAGTCAACTGGAAAGGGGATATCATAACCAGCAGAGGTTGAAGAACCCTAAAGACTATCCTATAGGTACCCCTGATCCCAGAGGTACCCGATGGTACCCGGTACATGCAGGTGAAGGGCCTGAAGGGCTCCTATGACTTACAGGTCACTTCATCAACCTCTTAGGTCACCCATCAGGTCCCTTCACCTCTGCGAACGTGGCTCGGGGACTCGGAGATTGGATCCGTCCGAAGAGGTTCGAGGGACGAGGGGATGGCGGAAGAGTGCCTGAGGGATCCAGTCGTACCTCGTCTCAGGAGGTACGACTGGACCCCCTCCAAACCATTCCAAACCTACAGAACAGTGTCTCAGCGTCTCCAATCACCTTCTGAGAAGGTACGACTGGATCCCCAGCCGTGTTCCTTGGCCCATTCGCACCCATTCTGCGAGGAACAAGGTCGACCGTGCCCCCGTCCAGGTCCGGCCTCCTGTGTCTGTGACGCAGCGAGCAAGTCCAGCCACAAATCAAAGTGGTTCGCCTGAAGTGGTCAGAATGGCCCACCAACACATCTGAAAACCCACGATCGCCGGCAAGAACTTGACCTGAACTTTTGGGTGGCGAGAACTTCAGGGCCATGATGAACTCGGGTGCCTTCACGAACGTCAGGGCCTCCAGGGCCAAACCACCTCCACGTAGATCGTCGATCGGACGAAGAAAGGACCACCCCAACCGACCAAATGAAACGGGTCGAGTTGGCTCGAGGATCGAGCTATTTGGTTCAAGAGTTGGCTGGTGGACCATTTGGATATACATAATGGCTTCATATGTTTCGTTCGTGTGTGCCCCATCTGTTCCATCATCCATTCTCTGTTCTGTTCCGGTCTGGCGCCCTGTGGACCACCAGTTCCGATCCTGACCCAGTGCATCCCAGGCAAACCACTATATAAGGAACCAGGGATTCGTTCGGTCTATGGTTTTAGTCGTGGTAACTGGATGCCCTGGGTGAGAGTTGCACCATCTACTGTATATTAACGTTCCCCATCTTTCACCATTCTACCACTCCCTGTCATATCTGAATGAGGGGGGGGCCTCTACTCGACCTCTGAATGGTGGCGCGTCTGACAACTGAATATCAACGAAGCAGGAGGAATCCAAGGAAGGTGGAACGATGTGGGTTGAACCTCGTGACCCGGCCGCACGCATGCGCACAGGTGCCGGATGTAAGAGATCCATCACCGCGTCCAGCATCTCAAGCCTCAGCAAATCCGAGGACATCACACAAGGGCTTACTTACTTACCAACGAGTCATCCACCAGGTGAGAGACACGCGTTTCCAACCGCTGATCCGATCCGCCCGATCCAGTGCAACACAGGTGAAAACCTCGAGTCCATTTTCACACATTCCGACAACGAAGTGCCGCATCCCAACTCAACATGCCCGGCCCGGCCCTCTAGGGTGTACAGCAATAGCCCGGCCCAGGAGGTTAAGGAGTGTCCATCAACATCCATTAAATACATTAGCCACCCGGGGGCCCTAGTCTTTTGCCACCTCTCCAGCCAAGCAGCACCCAATCGCCAGCTCACCCAGTCAAAGCTCAACCCATGGCCGATGCTCAACCCAGCGGCGCGGCAAAGGCAGAGGAACCAGCTTGGCCCGTAGCACTAAATGGCTAATTCGAAGCTTGGACAGTTCGAACGATTTAGAAGCTTGGTGCGTACCACATCTTACCCCCCAAAGATGTTTTAAACAACGAGCCTATAGAATCATAGTCCAGTTTGTCCCGTTCTTCACTTGCACCACTGCGTCGCAAACCCTCCTTTTTTGGCTGCTGCGCTGATTCCCCGCGGGGTCTTACGAAGCCACGGACTCCAAGGGGAAGTCCTCCTCCGCAGCGCGGAGCTTCCGGGAGGCGGCACATGGCAGCAAGGCTTAGAGAGTACCACGCAAGGACCACAGGCAAGGAAGATGCTTTTCTACCCAATTGCGAGCCGTTTTTTTATCCAGGGCAGGAGTTGGGGGAGGCGCTCGGCTTTCTTGTCGATAGAATCATAATGTACATCATCTTCGGAATCGATCGGCTGATCTGCAAGATAGGTCCTTGTCGTGCGAAATCTTGAACGTATCCAATGGCATGTTGGCGATGGGTGAATACCTGCGAACGGGTGGCGTTCGCGCATGTTGGTCGCGGTGCCGGACAGAACTAGTTTAGGAAGTAAACAGCTACACCACATACAGGAAAGTGTTTCACATCTAGTCATATAGGTTGAGTGTATCCCATTCCCTGGGCCTGGTGGCCTAGTGGATGATTGTTAGGTGGCAGGCCTTTCTCAAAAAATAGTGATAATCGTTTATTCCCCAGGGATCCAAATACCTTCTCAGAAGGTGATTGGAGACAGTGTTATGTAGGTTTGGGGGGTCCAAGTACTTTCTGAGGTTCGGTACCACTGGATCCCTAGGGATTGACTGTTGCCGGTCAACCTGTTGTTGTGTCAGAACTCTTGGTTAAACGGTTGTTGCTCGGCACAAACCATCAAATCAAGTTGGAATCCTAGTGCACATCTTAAGCCTCCCGTATGGTTTCCCTGGACCCGAGAGCCACGGTATCAACCATCGACCACCAAGACTTGGTGGTCTTGGGCCGCTGATTTTTCCGCTGGAACTGCGCAGCCGCTTCCATCTGCCAGCCAAGGAATTCGATTCAGCGTTTTTTCGAGCTTTGTCAGCCGCCCGCTTTGCAGCCCGCCGGGCGAGTATGCTCTTTGCATCCAGTTCCTTCTGCCAAAGCAGGATGGACCTTCTCAATTCATCTTCCAGTGAGCCTGACGCAAACATCCTCAACTTGCCGTGGTACTTCAAAGTAAGCCACCATCTCCAATCAAGCAGCTTGCTGTTGCGATGCCTTCCAGGGCACTTTCTGCATCATAAGTCGAGACATCACCCCCCATATACTCAATATAATAAGTGCTCATTCAGTCTAATCAAGTCCTTTCGTCTAGGACTCTCTCAACACTGAAGGTACCCTATCCGCACCTTTTATGATCCATCATTCCCATATGCATTCTCTCCCAGTAGCACAGGCTCCTCTCTCGTTTGACCTGCCGATCGCGGAACTCCTTCTCCAGCTGAAGCAGTAGCACTTCCGTGTCCAGTCCAGCATCTTCATAATAAGCTTCTTTCATGAGCTCCTCAAGGCTCCAGGTGCCAAGCAAAGCTGAAACGGAACCCTCGACAGAACCTCAACCGCCTCGGTCTCAAACGTCCCCACTTCTCGGCCAGATATCCGGGGCTCCGCCACCAGAAAGCACCTCGGAGTTGGTCCAGGAACCTGGAAAAAACACAACAGATTTCCATTTTGGGGGATTGAACCATGCCATAGAGAAAATAAACAAATCACCTGACCCGCAAAACCAGGACACAGGGAGTCATCCCGGGTCCAGAGCCCAGTTCTCGAAAAACCTCCACGCAGGAAGCTTGCCAACGTTCCACCTGCGCCAGGTCGTGCGAACTGGGCAAGGCCAAAAGGCCACACCAGAAGTGCATCGTCTTCTCGAAACGAAAGGCCAGACCTGGGAGGAACTGGAGCGTCGTGTCTACGAGGCGCTGGGAGTTTAGATTGAAAAAACACGTTGGAAAAAGACTGGAAAAGCATATGGTTCTCCAGAATGGGCGCAAGGGAAAACCTAGAGGAAACCCCAATGGTATTCGGGGTGAAAACCCTGGATTCCTGTAGATTGTCCCTCAAACCAAGTCAATCCAATTGACCTTGCCCCGTTCCAATGGAGGAAGAGCCAGTCCGGGGAGAAGAACAAAGCTATCGCCCGATCCGATCGAACCAGGAAACCCATCTCAGAGAGTCTCTGCCCTTGTTCTTCGGCAGCATCTTCCAAAGCACCTTGCAACTCTTCTAGGAAAGGATGCCGGGCTTTGGCAGATGCCAGCACTGAAAGAATGTCCAAACCCGTTTGCAAGTCGACGGACCGGCTCGTAATTCTCACGTTGCACAGGTGGATTCCTGCCACGTATTTCCCGCCCCTCTTCTTCATCAAGCCTCTGAATGACGTTTCATCCAGTTCCTCGCACTCCTCGGACTCGTTCCGGTCCACGGTCCTGGGTCTCCTTACCTCGGCTCGGCGCCGTCTGGTGGCCCGTCGGCCCCGGGTCGGAGCTGCCCGTGGCGCAGAAGGTGTCGGTGGCGGCATCCGCGCTGCTGTTGGCTCAGTGCTCCGGTGACCAGTCTGTAGCGCTGCTCTCGGCTCGGCATGCGCTGAAGTAAAAGCTGGATCTTGGACATGAGCGCATCCTGCAGCGGTGCCGTCTGACAGATTCCCACACTCTTTCAAGGCCTTTTTGGCGTCGAACTCCCCGTGGCCAGCGGTCTTCTTAGACTCCGGAGTCGTCGACGACTGCACTCCGAAGCTATCACCATGAAGAACCGAGGATGGCATGGTCACTGGATGTCACTGGGAAGGCCATGCGACCATGCGAAGTGGTTTTCACTCGTTCGTGAGTCAAAGGGGCCGGTATACTCTCTTGGGTCTCTGCACCAGCCTAAACGCTCGATTGGGCCACCCAAAAGGTTCATGTCAGATGCTCCAACTTCCTACGAAAGCAAAGGTCATGTCTGGTCTCTACATGTGGGTGTATATTTAGTGGGGAGATCTCCAACCAATGGGTGAGAGCTTCGGAGGCACTTGGAGCCCTAGGGTGTCGATACCTTTCAGAATAACGATATTTGCGTTTTCCATGAACTCACAGCACTCCCCATTCTATGCTCCGTCCTCCCTCAACGCGCTTTTGGATCGTTGCCGCGTCCCACTGGACCGGGGCGAGGCGACGGTTCACCGGTCATGGTCTCCACTGGAAGACTGACAGAACCATCTTCTCCAAGTGGCCAAAGAGGTATACCAGGACCCCTGGCATAAGGAGTCTCAAGGGGGGTCCACAAAAATTATCCATGAAACAGTGCTGGTATTTCCCTAGAAGTCGAATCACCATTGATTCAATAGCCTTTACTAAACGACCACTATACAAAACAAGATCAACCATTAAATTTAAAATGGTCTTGGACTTCCAGGAATTTCGTATGATTTGATTACCCATAGACTCCATGGGACTGCTACGTATATATGCCGATCAGGCCAGGGGTGGTGCCACGGGGTCAATGGGCCGGCAGTCCTATGGCAGTCCCATGGAGTCTGTGGGTTATGGTCTGACAAGGGCTATAAAACGTTTGGCCTCCACACCATCCTGGGTCCGACAACATCTCGAAGGCCCTGTAGACCGCGTGGAACATCTCCTCAGAGCCTCCCTTGTCAGGATGAACCTGCAAAGCCTTCCTGACGGCGTAACTGGAACAGTCAGAATCCGGACATCCTTGTTTTCAATATGTTTCAAGACATGGGCTTTCACATGGTTTCACTCATTCTGCAACTCTCCCAGTCATACGGTAACATCAGGAAATCGGTGGGCATAGGTGTTCTACTGCCTTGCAAGTCTTGGCATGTCTCGGCCAAGGCATGTGGGAGCTGTGGCTTCTTCTGATGAAATGATTCTCTCATGGAGCACTGACCCCGTTTAAAAAACTAAAATGGGGACGATCCGGTGTCCGTTTCTGAGCCAAATACGAGCATCCGCTTGAAAGCGCTCCGGATCTCATCTTGACTTGCAGCCGGCTGGAGCTCCAGCTGCTCATAGAAGTTCATGGCGATGCGTGGCGGACGTCTAGAGGGCTCCCACTGAAAAACCACTCACAACCGACCACCGTCAGTGACCTGTCCGTGACCCAACTCATCGATCGACTCGATCGACAGCTCGGAGGCTCACGAACTGAAGCGTCCTAGGCGACTTCCCAATGGCCCAAGAGAGGTAGCCAGTGACCGGGACCATAGGACCCGGAAAAATCTGGGGTACCCAACTGGGATAGTCGAACGTTCGGGTCATTCAACCTCTGTCTGTTGGTCAGACTTCTGGGACTTCTGGGTTTGGAAATTCTGCATGAGTCTGGCTTAGGTTCTCAAAGAATGGATGGGGTGCGGAATGGTCACCTAAGTGGGCACCCCATTTCCAGCGACGTGGTGAAGGGTACGGGTTGAGCTTGCTCCAGCTACCTCCTGAGAACAAACATGAACACAATAGGCGGACTGTGGGGTCGGTACCTACCCTTCTGAGGATGTGGCTTGAGCGGTGGGCCATCGGCTTCTGGGGAATGGCTAAGGAGTTGCAGTGAGGCCGAGCCTTTGGAGCCGTGCAGTGTGCAGTGGCTTGAGCATTACTGCAGGGACCTCCGATTCACCGTGGTGTTTGGAGTCGTTGCATCCAGTCCTTCTGACATGGTCAACTTCCTGATCCCCATGGACTATCATGGACTCGTTCGCGAGGGGGGGGGGGTGCCGCCGACTCCGTGGCCGACTCCGCTCGCGCGGCGCGTTGGGCGTCCTGTCCCCAAAAGGGAAGAACTTCCGAGGTTCGCTGGGACTGGGGTGGGTACGACTGGAGGTGGAGAAAACCGTCCGCAGACTCCATCTTCCCCCAAGATCCGCTGGGTCCGTCTCAAGCTAGAGCTCAAGCGAGGAAAGCCCAGCTGAAGCGAGGGTCTTTGAGAGCGTGAGAAACTCAAACATCGGACCCAGCCAACGTCCGGTGGTTTTTGGTGAGGTGGCAACGAAAACGGAAAGAACGGAATCTCAAGTTGCCAGGTTCTTCTCCCACCACAATAAATCCCTATAAATCCCTCCCAAAACGAAGCACACCTGCCAGGACCTTTCCAACCTCCTCAGGATTATACGTGACCTTTTCAAGACCTGTTCGTGACCTCACTCTGGGGATCTCAAGTTAGGTCACGGGGAAGGTCCGGGTGGTGTGAAGGCTTCGTTTGAGGTGCGCCACACCGACTCACCCACACGGACCGGTTCCCTCGCTATGGCCGGTTGTGACGCCCCTGACGCTTCACCCCCAACTGCACATGGCCGGTGACCGCTGCGCCTGTCTGACTCCACATCTTTGAACCACTGCATGGTCTGCATGTGATATCCTCAACGGGCGGAGGTCGGAGACGCCGAAAAAAAAACCACCGGAGACGTGCTTGCGAGGCGCTCCGGACGGTTTGGCGCCCCACCAAGCCGCCGCCGGAGAAGGTTTCCAGCCAAAAAGACTACGAAAGACCCTTCAGCGCCCCGATGGCGCCGCATGCTCGGGCCGAGTCAATGAAGTACCATGAGGTCCCTCACGTAGACCCCTGTCTACCCTGGAATCCTGGAAATGCTTGGAACGCTTGGTTGAAGCTGCTACATCAAGATGAAGGTCCATCAACAAAAACTTGTTACCCGGGGCGAGGCTGGCAGAAAGCAGGGTGGCTGAACAATCTTTAGGGACTCTATTCCCTAGTAGGGCTTCCAACCACCATCAATTCAATAGCCGTTTCCACAAACAGTGTTTTACTACTGGATTTTGCCCTACAACACCAGGTCAACCATTGTTTCAGTCGTCTTGGAAGCCTAGGGTATTTGTACTTCAAGCTCAGAATCCGTCTCATTCAGGAGACCCTGTTGAATTTCTACTTCCCTAGAAAATCCAAGTTAGCTCCGCATAGCACGGCCTGAGAAGACCGCCTTGGCCCATTCGAGGGCCTGGCCTTTTGGGGGTACCAAAATGAACCGTCTGGATACAACTGGTCATCATCAGCCATGCAAGTCAAAAGTGAGCCTTGGTCTATACTGCAGCCCTGTGTCTCGGCTCATGTTCACAGTGCGACCCCCCTACCCCAAACACGACTAATGGGAGCCATAGGACTGCCGATCAGTTGGGGGTGGTTGAAAAGGGGTCAATGGGGCGGCATAAATATATTAGTCCCATAGCGTGTCTGCGTACTGCCACGGCCACAACCCACTGACACCTTCCACCCACCGAGGGGCGCTTGGCCACTGCGGAGAGTTGATCCAGCCGGTCGCGGAGCTCGCCGATCCTGCGCCCCAGAGTTCGGGACTTCCGGTGATCCAGAACCACCGGAGTTCGGGGGGGGTGAGACATGCCATGACCACCGCACTGTAAAACCCTTCGTTGCTTCGGCGCCAAGAAAATGGTGGTTGGAAGCCTAGAAACCATGCCATGCTTAACTTTCAATACTCCACCCGAAATCCGTGCTGGAAGAAGCTGCCCAATTTCCGCTGAAGGTCCTAGTCTA